TTTTATTTTTTTATATGGCTTGTTGAACTATAGTGTACAAGAGTTTTATCTAATTATCATCCTAACAATCTTTGTTTTCTTTTATAGGATATAATTTCTTATTTTCCATGTAATTTAAAAAAAATTGAGGCATGTTTCTTTGATGGCTTATGGATCTTTACAAAGACAGTGACTGTAAATCGGTTTCACTGTTTCATTCTATGTTTTTAGATGGCATAAGACTATTCTTGTTCAAAGATTATAATGGTTAGTTATGGTCTGAGATGAGCAGCTAAGGAAGGTCAGAGCATATTTGGGAAACAAAAAGGCAACATCCAGTTTTTCCTGCTTGCTTCCAGTCAAGAGTTCTAGTCGTTGGACCACACACCACTCCTTTTATAATTTATTGAGTATCCTCATCAAGCAGACTAGGAATTCATTTAATAATAGGTTTTTTTATTATTTGGCACAACTCGATGAATTTAGTAAAACCTTTTAAGATAACAATATGAGGAAAGTTCCCACCAGGTAACAACGACTCTACTTAATCCTACTTAAGCATATTCATATTATGTCACTGAGGACTTGGTGTGAAGCCTCGAAGCACTTCTCATTGGTAAACCTCAGGTTCCTTGGGTCATTGCAATTTTAAAATGTTTCACATTTTACTATTTTAATAGTTGAATAAAGTACCTGAAGCTGATGGGAACATTCATATATGTAATATATCTTGAATTACTAAGAGCATCTCTATTGGTGTAGTGTTTTTTGTGTTATTTTCAACAAAAGTGCATTTTATATAGATTGTTATAAGCTGCTCTACTAGTGTGTAGTATTTACTGTGCTAAAATAGCACAGATACTCCAACAATGTAAATTTGTCTGTGCGCGCCCATTTTTTCCCACTACCTATCAATCACAAACTTAAGTCAAAGTTACAAAATAAATAAAAATTGCATTTAACAAATTAGAACACAATACATAATCATTTAAAATTATAAAATAAAATAAAAAAGGATTTCTATCAAAATCAGAGTTTGTTGAGAATATTATTACCCCCACAAAGCAAAAACTTGAATCGTATGCTATTTTCTTCTTTCTATGCAATTCCTTTTTCACCTCTCTGACATTAAGCCTTTTAGTTCTTGCAGAATCAACACCACAGTCAATTGGATCTTGGTTGGAATCTAGATAAATAGGTGAAAAAGAATCTTGGTGAGGATTCAATGGATTGGTGAAGATTTCAATGCTTAATTTATGTGATTAATAATGAAATAGTAATAAATTAGTGATAAATTAAACTCCAATTATATTGATATAGTTGTAATTTTATTTTTTAAAAACAATCAAATAGTCCAAGGTGTAGTATAAAATAGCATTGTGCTATATATGGTGTGTCAAATTTGGCATAGGAAATAGGACTATAATATTTTAAGACAACATATACAACACTGCTGGAGTGAATGTTTTAGTTACAGTATCAACTTTCTTGGGTGCTGTTAAGAATGTTGTAATTCATTTGTGGGACAAGTCCTTGCCAATAGCCTTCTGCTGCCAAGGCCTTTCTAACTAATAACACTGATTAGATATGTAATTTTTGTTTCTTTCCAATGCATAGTACAATAATAGAAAATGAAAACAAAACTATTTCAAAGCCTGTATACCAGATGTATTATTTTCACACAATTGTTCCTATTCTGATTGATAGAAACAAGATTTCTACCAGATATACAAACCGATAAAAAGTCCAACACAAGCAACACTAATTTGATTCTCTCACTCATATTCAGATTCAGATTCAGATTCAGAAATGACTTCTAACTTGTTGTCAAAAGAGTTTTGATCCCTAGCAGTCATTGGATTTGTGGTGGTAAATGGATTGGGTGGCATAGTCAGAGTGTCTCCGTCATCTCCTTCCAACATTTGAACCACAACTTTCATTGAAGGCCGGTCTCCTGGGTACCACTGAATGCACCAAAGTCCCACAATTGTTATTTTCTTCACAATCTTAGCATCTTCATCTTCCTCAATCATGACCCCCTGTTCTTCTTCATGTTTTAAACGGTTATAGATCCATTCGGGGAAGTAAACTTCGCTTGTATTCTGCGTTGTAACATGGGTATTCTTCCTCCCTCCAACCATTTCAAGCAACAACATTCCAAAACTGTAGACATCTGACTTGTATGATACGTTCCCAAAGTTCCCAGAGAACACTTCAGGTGCAATATAGCCTATGGTGCCCCTAGCAGCAGTCATGGATATAGCACTTTGTTCTTTCGAACACAACTTGGCTAGACCAAAATCAGAGATCTTGGGATTGAATTTGTGGTCCAACAAGATGTTATCAGATTTAATATCGAAATGAAGGATTCTTTGATCACACCATTGATGAAGATATTCAATACCTTTGGCTATGCCAAGGGCAATACCTTGTAGCTTCTCCCAACCAAGTGAACATTTTTCCTAATTAGATGATATAAACCTCTCTAACAAATCATTTGGCAAGTACTCATAAACGAGAGCTCTTTTAAATCCATTAGCACAATATCTGACTAGGCAAACCACATTGATGTGGTGGATTCTACCTAATGTTCCCACTTCATTGATGAAGTCGTCCCCATTCCCCTTGACATCGTTGAGGATCTTGGTTGCAATGTGGATGTCATTGGAAAGTTTTCCCTTGTACACTGTTCCATAACCTCCTTGGCCTAGTTTTTCCTTAAAATTGTTAGTAATTTTCTTAATCTCGGCATAAGTGTATCTTATGTAATCCTCCAAAAAAATTTCAATTTTTACTTGATCCTCTTTCTTTAATTTATTTGATCTGTGGACAAAATATATTGTGACCGTGACTACAAGAAGAAGAATCAAGCAAGGTGGTATCACACCTGCAATTTTAAACAACAAAAATTAAGAGTGAAAATTCCTTCTCCAAAAAAAGAAGGGGGAAAAAAAAAATCACGGGAGGGTAGACTCTGAAAGTAAAACACAAGGGAAAACTAATAGAGGAAGGAGTACTTGAAGTACCAGTAATAATTGGTGGTGGGTTATGTATGTCATTGTCAAAGCATTCAAATTCATCATGTTTCCTGCTGCTGCTGTTGCTCTTATTCCTCCTCCTCAGTCTACAATACTTGCCTATTTCTTCACACCTCCCACATATGGCCTTGGACCAACTCAATCGAAGTTCATTAGTATCTAAATCAGGAGAACCATATAGAGGGGAATCTATTGATGTTACGGTATATAACTTTCTGCAAGATAATAGGAACTGCTGGATTAAAAAATCATCAGGTACCGCATAGACCACATGACCTTGGCTGCTGTTATGGCAATTATTTGTAATTGGAAATGGTGGATGTCTATAATATGCATATTCTATATCATACCATTCGAAAGGGTAGGTTTGCATTGTTGAGGAGGGACAACTGAAAAAGCTAAAATTACCTGGGTAATGATGTGGTGAGAATTTGAAGGGAGAGGCTGATAAACTGTGGTTTAGATTTAGGAGAAGCTGTTCCGGAAAGCAACTGCTGGGGTCACTTATATATAAAGACTGGTCTATGTAATTGATTTGCTGGACAAATACGGTTACAATCACGAGCTCAAGCATGGTAAGGTTGGTTGGGGAGCAGAATAGTTCAAACCCGGGATAGCCACAGTAATTTGGCTGGTGAATGGGAACCGAATGTCTGGACCATATTCCCCACACCTCTGTGTCACCGTGCATTTATCTGAATTTAGTGGTCGTGCTCGTGGTGCTTGTGGTACTCCTGCTGCCAATACTACTCCTTGGAGTTGGAACAATAACAAGAGAAAAAGAAAGAGAAGGAAGAAGAAGATCATGGCCATTTGCATACTAATTTCCTTGTGGAGTTTCAAATTCAATGCCTTCTCATCCTCATTTTGTCTCTATCTTCAAGTCAACATCCTCTTTGCAGAGCCGGCCCTGGCCCAAGGCAAGCAATGCAGCCACCTTGGATCCCAAATTTCGATAAATTTTAAGGGCTCCTAAATAATTTTAACTTTTATGGTGTTAATAGGTTTAAAAATTAATGTCCAAACCAACTCATTTAACTTCACAATCTAAATTAAAAGTTTTTAGAGCATGTCTAACTCTTTATTTTTTTTCCCAATTCAATTTGATTATAGATTTGAGTACACACTTGATTTAAATAAATGATTTTTTTATTACTTGTACATGAAGGGCCCAATTTTAAGACTCCGCTTTCGATCTCAAAAATCCTATCACCAGCCTTGTCTCTATCTTCATGTCAACATCCTCATTCTGTCTCTATCTTCAAGCGAGCTGTGTGTGACAAAATCAAAACAAAACTGCCAAAGTTTGAAGTTTAACCCACTTCGTTGCATTTACTAGGCTGGTATCATTTTCTATGTGACTATTTTAATTTCGAGCAACGAAATAGTTGGCCAAATCACATTCCAATGATAATATAATAGAGGTGATGTGAGTATATAGTTTGATTTGGTTCGGTTTGATTTAGGAACAAATCAAGAACCAAACCATTACCTACGATTCAACTCTCTGAAATTTAGAACCAAACCAAACTATAAAAGTTTTAAAATCAAATCAAACCGAATCAATAAAACATGGTTCGTTTGGATTAAAGCCACGATTCTCACAAAATATTGATTACAACTTACTCAAACGTCAAACAATATGCCATTAGTTTTCAAACAAAAATTATTTAAATAATTATGTAGAAGTAATTTTACCACTAATTACAAGCCTAAGTCTACTTTTCTTAAATTTGGATACTTTTTTAGGTAACATAAGTTGCTGAAAGTTATTAATAACTTGTGTGTATGTGGTGGGGGTATTAATCAAGTAGCTGGGGGTATTATTAACAAATTATATATATTTAAACAGTTCGATTAGGACCCATTGAGAAAACTAAACTAATCCTTACAATTTGATCTGGATCAAACCGGTGTACAAGTTTTTTTTTATATTTATTTTTGATATTTTTGCTTAGCCCTATAATATAATATTATAACACGAGCCTTGAAATTATTAGCCACAGCAAGGGGATTTGGGCAACTGCAAACAGACTCACTCTGATATGATCTCCCTTCCCTTCTCTTCCCTTCCATCATCCATCCATGTGGGAACAAGTGATAGGATTTGTGATGCTTTAAGAACAAGTGATAGGAACTGTGATTCTTCTTCTTGTGGGAACATTCAAAATATCAGATACCCATTTCGATTTGAAGGTGACCCAGAAAATTGCGGAAACAAAAGATATGAACTGGCCTGCCACAACAATCGTCCACTGCTTGACTTATCATCTGCGGGTGATACTAAATACTACTATGTGCAGGCAATCAACTACAACAACTACACAATCCGAGTTGTGGATATGGGCATTCAAAATGGAAGTTGCTCCTCCCTCCCTCTTTATTCTTTATCCTTTGAAAACTTTACTGGTCCTGCTTTTAATTTTGATTATTATAATTCATATGGTTCATATAATCCAAATGAGTTCCAATGGAAGTTTCCCTGTTTTGAAGCTGTAGCAGTGCTGGTGGAATGTGAAAATCCAGTGAATTCTCCACTATACATGAACACTAGTAGTACTACTTATACTAGTTGTATTAATAAGTCGTCTTCTTCGCATACCCATTACTACTCTTACTTTCTGTTTCGAAACTTAAGAGCATCAGATGTGGCTGATCTGTGCAGAATAGATGAGATAGTTGCAACTACCTTGTGGTCGCCTTTACCTCCAACAACAACAGCAGCAGCAGTAGCAGCAAGTTATAACTTTTCCATTAACTTCATGGAATTCCACGCACAGTTGGCCTCTGGATTTGAGCTTTCATGGGCCAAAATTCTATGTGAAAATTGCTCAACTGGAGGCAGTTGCTTCATTGATCCTACTACCAATTACACTGTCACTTGTTACAACTACTGCGATTCCCAAATCAAGTTGACCTTTCTATGTGCGTAAGATTTTCTCTCACATAGCATGATTAGATATAGCAATATCTACGTTAGTATTTACTTCGTGCTAACTATATGAAAACAACTTAGCATAAATATAATTTTATAATAGGTTGGAGTCTTGGGTTGGGTCGATTTAAGCATGGTCTAAACTAAGAACCAACTAATCCTATCGAGTCCACGATTTTAAGACATAGAACTGAACCAAAATATTGAAAAACCCAAACCAAACCAATGCATAGAGGTCAGTTTTTTGAGTTTCTTTGTACACTTCTACTTACTACGAAAATCCAAAATTCAAATACGAACAAGATGTTAGTCCAAAACTTTGTCAGTTAACATTAGGGGTGCAACTCGGGCGGGCTCAACCCGAGCAACTCGAGCCCAGCCCGAGTTTTTTTAGGGCAACATGAGTAATGGCTTCTTCAAACAAAATTTTTTAAGAAAGAGAGATTTATAAATATTTTTTGTAAGAGGAATACTAGGTACAGAGAAATAAAGCACATAAATAAATATTTCCAGGAAAATTCAGTGTTATAACCCACCACAACAAAACTAAATCTGATCCACACATAGTTTATGTGTACAATTTTATTTTATTTTATTTTATTTTTTTATTTTTTTATTTTTTTCATGCTGTAATTTAAGTGGCACCTAAACTAATGTTTAGAGGCCAAAAAAGGTAAGGCTGCCACATGACATAGATTCATTTTTAGGGTTAGGGGTCGTCAAAGAATTTTTGATTGCATATAGTCTTTCTATTATACATATGCTAAGTAATTTAAAATTGATAGAAAGAGAGAGAAACTATGAACATACTGAGAAATTAGGATATGTTGTGCTAAACATTAAATTCAACTATCTCCTCAGTCTTTGATTTTGTTTTTAGTTTTTTTTTTTTTTGTAAGATTAATGACTTTAGTTTGCTAACATAATTTATATGTCAAAAAAAAATGTAGGTGCCTTGGAGCTTATTTACAGTAAGCACTCTTTATTTCTCATCCATAATTATTTCTTATTTACAATCTTGCGATCACCTCACATTTTCAACCCACTTTTGCAATTCCTGTCTTTTGTGCAATAGTATCATCGCGAGAACTAAAATTTTCTTGTAAAATTTTTTCAAATCTAAAGGCCTTCAATCACCTGATTAAATGTTAAAAGCCTATAAATTCTTCCTTAGATTGACTAGCTTCTTCATTACTTTTTTATTTTTTTAAATTGCCTTAGTCACTTCGTTGAATCTTTGGTACATTTTTTCTTTCAGACTGTGTCCTTTACTTACTCACAATCACAGGTAACATTTCTTCCTTCTACTGTTAAGCTTAAAAATCTTAAGAATTTATATGAAGAACCAAAATCCAATGATAAAAGCTGGAAGAATTCAACGTACGATTCTATTGGTAGAGAAAAACAATGCTAAGTAATTTAAAATTGATATAAAGAGAGAGAAACTATGAACATACTGAGAAATTAGGATATGTTGTGCTAAACATTAAATTCAACTATCTCCTCAGTTTTTGTTTTTGTTTTTGTTTTTAGTTTCTTTTTTTTTAAGATTAATGACTTTAGTTTGCTAACATAATTTATATGTCAAAAAAAAAAATGCAGGTGCCTTGGAGCTGATTTACAGTAAGCACTCTTTATTTCTCATCCATAATTATTTCATTATTTACAATCTTGCGATCACCTCACATTTCCAACCCAATTTTGCAATTCCTGTCTTTTGTGCAATAGTAGTATCATCGCAAGAACTAAAATTTTCTTGTAAAATTTTTTCAAATCTAAAGGCCTTCAATCAAAAGCCTATAAATTCTTCCTTAGATTGACTAGCTTCTTCATTTCTTTTTTATTTTTTTTAATTGCCTTAGTCACTTCACTAAATCTTTGGTACATTTTTTCTTTCAGCCGATGTCATTTGCTTGCTCACAATCATAGGTTACATTTCTTCCTTCCACTGTTAAGCTTGAAAATCTTAAGAATTTATACGAACCAAAATCCATTAATAAAAGCTGGAAGAATTCAACATACGATTCTATTGTTAGAGAAAAACAAAGGTCTGTTTTTTTTTTTTTTTTTCTTATTTGTTCATGTTTTGATCTCCCTGGGAAGGATTTATTCTTGGAGCTAGAACATTTTGTGGGATGCTATGCTTATTCGCATTTTTAATCTATAAGTTTCGGACAAGGCATTTATCAATGTTTGATACCATTGAAGGTTTCTTACAAAGTCAGAATAACCTCATGCCTATTAGGTACTCTTATTGGAACATTAAGTTGATGACCAAAGGTTTCAAGGACAAGTTGGGGGAAGGAGGCTTTGGTTGTGTATACAAAGGAAAACTTCGGAGTGATCATATTGTGGCAATAAAGATATTAAATAAATAGCCAAGATTTCATCAATGAAGTTGCTACCATTGGAAGAATTCATCATGTCAATGTGGTACAACTAATCGGATTTTGTGCTGACGGATCTAAGCGTGCTCTTGTCGATGACGTCATGCCTAATGGGTCTCTTGAAAAGTACATTTTTTCCCAAGAAGGAAATACCTCCTTGAGTTACAAGCAAATGTATGAGATTTCTCTTGGCGTGGCCCGTGGGATTGAATATTTGCATCGGGGTTGTGACATGCAAATTTTACATTTTGGCATCAAGCCTCACAACATTCTTTTAGACGAAAATCTCACTCCAAAAGTTTCCGACTTTGGGCTTGCAAAATTGTTTCCAATAGATAATAGCAATGTGTACGTGACTGCAGCAAGAGGAACAATGGGCTACATGGCTCCAGAATTGTTCTGCAAAAACATTGGACGTGTTTCCTACAAAGTTGATGTTTATAGTTTCAGAATGTTGTTGATGGAAATGGCAGGTAGACGGAGAAACTTGAATGCATTCGCTGATCATACAAGCCAAATTTACTTCCCTTCTTGGGTTTATGACCAATTTAAAGAAGGGAAGGACATGGAAATGGGAGAGAGCACAGAGGACGAAAGGTAGATGATAAGAAAAATGATAATAACAGCGTTATGGTGCATACAAATGAAGCCTAATGATCGTCCTGCGATGAGTAAAGTTGTAGAAATGCTTGAAGGAAATATTGAACTTGTGCAAATGCCTCCAAAGCCTTTCCTAACTCCTCAAGAGATGCCAACTGAAGATAACTGAATGAACCCCTTTCCTAACTCCAATAATTTGGAATGATAAATGTTGTACTCTTGTAGTATTATGCATGTACTGTATTAAAGGGGGAAAAAAATATCACATCCTCAAATAATAATAAATTATATTGGTTTGACACTATTTCTTGAGAAGACAAGTTCCATGTGCTAGTGGAAGAATGCTCAAAATAAGGAGTTCCATGTGCTAGTGGAAGAATGCTTAAAATAAATAAACATGCACGCGCACACAAGAGAAACACAAATATTTAATGTGGTTCAGCACATACCGAGACCAATTGAGAATACAATGGTGAGATCAAAAACATCCATAATCCAACATCAATATCCAAGACCCCTGCTCAAGGATATTTGAATCCATAAGCTCCAAGTCCCATGGACTTTCTGCTCAATGATATCTTTTACATCTCTCTCTATCATACCTCTTGGCAGCTCCTCTACCCTTACAGCACCCTTGGCTACCTCCTCTCTTGTTACTTCTTCCCTTAGCCCTCTTGAGCTAATTACAACCAAAGTTTGAAAAAGAATTCCATCAAACACTACAGCTTTCACACAGGTGTGAAAGGAAGCATATACAACCTACAATTGCAGGCCTATGAATAAAAAAATAATAAGCATAAAGAGGATTTCTTACAAATTATGCCAATGACAAGTTTTCAGAAAATTATGTATGTGCCAATGGCCCCAGGACAGACGCTTGTAGCAACAGGGCCTCACGTAAATCTGTGGCTCCTGTAGCCATTTACCTTTGCCAAGTTTTCACATCTATTTGTTTTAGGTTGCAAGCAGCAATGTCCAGTCATACAAAGCATTAGTATTATTACGTATGTATCTATTGTGTACCACAAATACACAGACAATGATCCAAGCGTGAACCCAGGAACAAATAGTAATAAATATCTATATAAATAAGCAACCTACAAATCCAAAGCCTGTAGTTCCATGAAAAAAAAAAATACAATATTTGCTCAAAACCCTAAACTAGCTCCGGAAATAAAGGTCGGGAACAGATCTGAAGAAAAACAAAACAAAACAAAAAACTCTACATCAAGGCTTGAGATTAAAATGATTACAAAAAGTAAGTAGAAAAAAATATAAGAGAAGAAAATAAATGGAGGGAGAGAAAATGTGTAAAGAAAATAGAGTAGAACCACAAAACCATATCAATAATCCTTGTTAATTCCCGTCATAGCATAGAGCCAAAGTAGACTGGCTTGAGGTAGATTTGGAATCTGATACAGCAATATAGTATATATACTGTAGTTAGAGCATCTCCAACGGTTACTCAAAATTTTCATCAAATTTGAGTAAAAAATGGCTCATTTTCCCAATTTGATATCAGCTGCTCCAACGGTGAACTTTCATCAAATCTGCGCCGGGACAACCGGTTGGTCGACTGGCCGGTCGACCGGCTGGTTGACCAGTAAGGGCAAATTTTTTATTTTTATTTTTTTTGAATTGTTTGAACTTTTTTTTTGAACTGTTTGAACCTTTTAGTGGTCGACCGGTTACCGGTAAGGCAAATATATATATATTTTTAATTGTTTGAACCTATAAATTTTGAACTGTTTGAACGTTTTAGTTGTCGACCGGATGGTCTCCCCCAACGGTAACAAACAGTGATTTGCTGAAATCAGTATTCTGTCCTCACTTTGATTAATTGTTTGGTGAATTCTCAATTTGATATCGATTTGATGCAACCGTTGGAGCACCAAAGAGTAACTTTTTCACTAAAATTTAAATTTGATGCCAGGTTTGGCGAAGCGTTGGAGAAGGTCTTAGTAACAAATAAAATTAGGGAAAATTATAACAACAACAACCAAAAAAATAAAAAATAAAAAAACCGAAGTTTGATCCTAGTAGTAACAAATCAAACCCTGAGGTTTTAATTTGTTAAATTTGAACCATACATTTTTTATTGGATCACAATTCAAATCATCTGTCAATCTCAGTTACATTGCCTAACGGAAAAAAAGAACAAAAATAACACATGGCACTACTTTATTTGTTCCCTAACTTGGAATAAACTTCAACTTTGAACTCAATCACACTAAATCTAAAACTCATCTTATCAATGATTCATATAACACCAAAACCACACATCATAAAACTTACCATACCCCTTATCACATATGAATATGCCCCTTTTGCTTTCCATCTGCTTCTCTCTCTGCTGGAGAAGATGGATCTACGCAGAGCAAGGGGGCCACCAAAAATGATGGGTCTAGGGGGAGGAGGTTTCGCTGGAAAATATGGATATGGGAAACGGGGTGATGGAGGAGGATAGTGATGGCGCGGTGGGGATATTGCTTTATGATGATTATAATTCATATGGTTCATATAATCCAGATGAGTTCCAATGGGAGTTTCCCTGTCTTGAAGCTGTAGCAGTGCTGGTGGAATGTGAAAATCCAGTGAATTCTCCACTGTACATGAACACTAGTAGTACTACTTATACTAGTTGTATTAATAAGTCTTCTTCGCATACCCATTACTACTCTTACTTCCTGTTGTTTTTCTAGCCAACCTCTTCAGCCAGATCATAATCCTAGCTGAAGAGAGCTCGAGGTTGGTTGTTCCTGCCAACCTAGAGTAAAGTGTTTGGTTATTCCTGCCAAACGTCCTGCAGCCTGGATCTTTATCCTGGGCTTAGGAGGGGTGTTGATTTTTCCAGCCAACCTCTAGGTTGGTTGTTCTTGCCAACCTAGAGTAAAGTGTTTGGTTTTTCCGGCCAAACGTCCTGCAGCCTAGATCTTTATCCTGGGCTTAGGAGAAGTGTGTGTTGGTTTTTCCAGCCAACCTCTTCAGACCATATCCTAATCCTAACTGAAAAGAGCGCAAAGTTGGTTATTCCGACCAACTCTGCTTTTGTTGCCTCTAGCTCACTAAAATAATTTTTACAGAATAAAACAATTATGCTGAAAAGAAAACTACTTGTTTTATTGAGGAAAAGAAAAATTACAAGTATGTCTAAAGAGAAAGCTAAAAATAAAATAGTTTGAAATTGGTAGTGTTCCATGGCCTGGGAATGGCTTTGCTGTCCTCGTCTTCCAAGTGGTAAGCCACTTTTCTTACTAACCCAACCACTTTGTAAGGTCCTTCCCAATTGGGCCCTAACTTGTCGTCTCCAGGTACCAGGGTGTTTCCCATTACTTTGCGCAGTACCTAATCTCCAACTTTGAATTGCCTTGGTTGTACTGTCTTGTTGTATTTTCTAGATAACCCCTGTTGGTATGAGGCGATGTGAACCAGTGCTCTTTCTCTTCTTTCTTGTGCAAGATCGAGCTCCAATGCTATGGCTTCTCCATTTAAGTCTGGATCAAAATTTTTGCTTCTAATTGTGGGGAGGCCAACTTCCAGTGGGATTACTACCTCCATGCCATAGGCCAAGGAAAAAGGCGTTTCTCCAGTCGACCGCCGAGGTGTGGTATGGTAAGCCCATAAAACATGAGGAAGCTCATCCGTCCACTTTCCTTTTGCTTTCTCTAGCCTTTTCTTCAATCCATCTAAGACGACCTTGTTTGATGCTTCCGCTTGGCCATTCGCTTGGGGGTATGCCGGTGTAGAATTGTAGAATTCTATCTTGTATTCTTCGCAAAATCCTCTAAAAATTTTGCCATCGAACTGAGTACCGTTGTCAGATACTAGAGCTTTTGGTATGCCGAACCGAGTGATGATATTCTGCCAGACGAACTTCTTCACATCTTTTTCCTTTATTGATGCTATTGCTTCTGCCTCCACCCACTTTGTGAAGTAGTCTGTTGCTGCAAGAAAGAACTTTCTGTTGCCGGGCGCCGTTGGAAGTGGTCTTACTATGTCCAAGCCCCACATTGCGAAGGGCCATGGGCTAGTTAACGCTAGAAGTTCTCTGGCTGGTTGATGTATTTGGTGTGCGAACTTCTGACATTTCTCGCACTTCTTCACATACTTCTTCGAATCTGTTTGCATGTAGGGCCACCAATATCCTTGTGAAATTGCTCTGTAGGCTAAAGATCTTCCTCCTTGGTGGCTGCCGCACACGCCTTCGTGAATCTTGAACAGGAATACTTCGATCTTGCTGGGATGGACACACTTCAGGTAAGGTCCTGTGAAGGATTTCTTGTACAAGGCCATTGATGGGGAGAGCCAAAATCGTTGCGACTTTGCTCTAATCTTGTTGGCCTCCTTCTTCTTTTCGGAAAAAATGCCGTCTTTTAGAAACACTATAATGGGATCCATCCATGAAGGGCCTAGTTCGGCACAACATACCTCTTCTACTTCGGGTTCTTCAATGCTTGGTCTTGGTAAGTAGTCAATCAGTAACGGATGTGGGATGAGTGTATCTGCCATTGAAGTAAAGCCTGCTAGCTCGTCTGCTCTGCTGTTTTCTTCTCGGCCAATCTGCTCTATCCGTACTACTTCAAATTTCATGATCTTTTTTCTGACCAACTCTTGGTACTTAGCCATCCTTTCATCTTTTGCCTCGTAGTCGTCTGAAATCTAGTTTACCACCAGCTGTGAGCCGCTGTAGACCATGAACTCGGTGGCCTTCATGTAGAATGCTGATTTCAGTCCTGCTAAAAGTGCTTCATACTTCGTCTCATTGTTTGATGCTGGGAAGCCAAGGTTGACTGCCTGTTCACCACTAGGCCATCTGGTGAGATGAGGACTATACCAAGTCCTGCTCCATGCCTGTTGGATGCTCCATTACAAAAAGCTTCTACATCTCTCCAACGAATAGTTTCCAGCAGGTAGAGGGATCGGATGATGCCTTGGGGTCCTGAGTGTTGCTGGTGTTTTCTTCAAAGTTCACACTTACTGTTTGCCCCTCGCTATCTGATT